GCTCATTAAACAAAATTCCACCAAGTCTGGGGTGAGCCTTGGCTTGGATGACGTTCAGGGATGGCGTGCAGCTAGGAGAGACTGTGATGGCCATGGCTGCTCTACCTGTGGAACACCATGCAGTGCTCTGGGCGCTCGCTGATCGTATGACGCATCGTTTCGGTCTGTGCCCGACCTGTAGAGGCGCCGACGTAATCGCCAAACAAGCCAAACGCAGTATGTTTCATTCATTTCATTGCTAATCGGACGGCCTACCCTATCCACCTTACTGTAGACCATTAAGGTCAGCCAGTCTTGCTCGCACCCACTAGTAAACAGAAAGCCTCGAATGTCTCAAAATCTTCTCGTTTCAGCTATTACACAATGGCACAGCTCACGGTCGAAAGGCGAAAGCAATCTCCATACCGCAGACTTTGCCGGGGCACGATGAAACACAGAAGGTTCTGCTAACGGAAACCTTTTCCCTCTGAACCGGGGTCAATATGTCCAGTGATAACACTCTGAAGTCGGTCAGGGGTGGCGAGAGTCATCACCAGTGGGTATCCCGTCCGGTATGGGCTGCCAAAGGGCTAAAGGCTCCATCAATGCTTTTGACAGCCGCCTTACGTTGGCATCCTCATCATGCCATAGCGGGCATATGCCATCCGAACATTCCCCGGGTCAAAGTCCTGTGCTTACGACGCCCGCAGGTCTTCCAGACAGCAGCACTGTGGGCCAAGCCACAACAACGTCGGCGGGGAGAGAAGATGAAACAGTGGTGGCTTTACCACCGGGCATGTGGTCCGTCTGCCGCAAGATGCTACCGCAACACGACTGGTCTCCTGGCGGAGTGGAATCATGTCGGGGCTAGACCCAGTGGATCTGGGTCCCAGATCAAGAGGCCAGGCTTCGGTCGTCGCCGTTGATGCGGGGGAAGATTAAGCGCGCGATGAAAGCATCTAGGCAAGGCAAAGGAGCCTATCCACTCCGGACATATGCTTATTCCGTCTCCCGTCACGTGCACGTGTCCCGGTCGTGAGTCGATTCCAAACACGGTTTAGCTTGTCTGGTAATCTGTGCTTTCGCTCAAAATGGCACCCGCAGCATTCAGGAACGTCGTGGACGCATCTGTGAGATTCGCTGAACTATCTATACACGTCACCGGCCACTCGAAGATCTATTCCATAATGCAAGCATCATCCGCTCTACCCTGCATGAGGTCGAAACGGAGGAACTATTCATCAGATGCAGTAGCATTGGAAACCATGGTATAATGCAGGCACGCTGCGAATAGCTTCGCGTTCACGTGGCATCACGGGTCAAGAGCATAGAAGCATTCCTCGTCTTTCTTGTCCGGTGTGTTTGAGTGAGGATTTTACCAATCATCACATATTATGCAGCAGCTGGTCAGAGGAAGCCTCAGTAGAATCCTTCTTGTGCGCAATCACCAGATTCGGCCGACCGGCCAGCCGTTCAAAGCTGTCCTTGAAATGATATGCGATGGTCACCAGCCTTGGTACCTAGATAGTATCACCACCCCAGTCCGTATTATTCTCCATATCGTGCATCTCAAATCTTTCGGGGGTGTTGTGTGACGACCAGCTGGCATAACGGTTCTCAGGGGGTTATAAGACGAAGCGTGAACGAGGAGGGTCGAGGTGTCGTTCTTGTATCGATGACCTAAATTCTCATAAGGATCGGACTGTCGAGGAAGAGTAACTGTCAGTGGTCACTGGCATTAATCTCAGGAGGTATAGAGTTCCAGCGTCCTTCACTTAGTATGGACTGTATGCCCTTCATATGGGGGTGTAGTCTGTGAGATGATTGCACATCTTGACTGTTGAGCCAATGTTTGCCTGGAAGGCTGAATGCATAGGAGCTTGAATGCGTCGAAGAAAGGAAAATGTGTATGAAAGCTTTTCTCCGTGAAGATGTTGCGGCTTAATATTTCCGCCCGTGCGGGTATCTGGAGTGGCGCGGATCGGCGAGAAGATCTACACAATAGGACCTCATCCACTCAACGTGATTGATCATGCTCCCGCTGGCAAAGAACATCTGCTTGTAGGACACGATTCAGACAAACGGAAGAACTCTTGAACAAAGCATGATCGTCTGTTTTCACGGTTTACACGGGATGATCTCCCGCTCTGAGACGCGATCTGCACCTGTCCCGAGTGATCTGCCGTGTCGGTTATAGGATGTTGTCGGCAAGCCATCGTCTGATATGAGGCAGATTTCTTCCATTTACAGTATCGAGTGCAGGCAATATCTACATTATATCAAGGCAGGAGTATTAGTCTTACGATACTATTAGTGCTTTTGCTACGTATAAGTGATTTGGTGGTCTGCTGCATTCAATCAATTTTGGTTGACGTTCGTGGTAGTTCAAAGTAGCCGCACCGATATATATATCTTCTCGCCTCTACTACTACTCATCATTCTACCACCAGTTTTCCTCCAAGCAAAGCCTTATCTGACTTTGAGGAGAATATTGAAAAGTAAATAAAATAGAGCTCTTAATGATATGGTGAATATATATATTTACATTAGACGATACTGGTGTTTCTTAAAGTTGGAGAATTGGGCATAGACTCTCTATGCCCTGCGAGATCATTGCTAGCGACGTAAGAAAGTGAAGTACTGGTCAGCTAGAAAACAACAAACGTCCAATGCATATAACCCACTGTTAACATAGTTTACTCAATCTCTGTACTGCTATGTGATCATGTGCACTTATGATTTTATCCAATGTAGGACGGCACATTATGACCCGACTAACCAAAGCTTCTTGGTGGGAGCTATCATGAGAAGGATCTATGGCGTAATGAGTTGTCCCATAGCAAGAAGTGTCACAAAAGGCATTTTCGCTATGTTTTAGGTACACTAACTGAATGGAAGAACGCCTATCTTGGAAACCCATACATAACGACCTGCGACGAATTTCTAAGGCTAGAATGCAACTACTTCTCCTACAGGTAATGTCGAAGATATCCATACAATGGAACCATCCTCTAAGAGCACCTCCGAAATTGTGTCTGTCTTCGATGCAAGTTGTGATATCCAGAGAAACTCGTGTGCTCAACGGTAACAGGAAGGTCAGCCGAGGAACAAGTTGCACTTGGAAAATAAGACAGATTGCACCATATCATATGTCATATTCCCAACAGAAGTCTCAAGGCAGCAAGCCCCCAGGGGGTTGAGGTGCTAACATAGAACAATCTAAGACAGCAGGAGAGAGATAATTGCGCAAGGATACGATGAACTCCTGAAAAGGAAGGAGGCGGAAAAGAAAATGTTGGGAGTGAATCATGACCCATCAGATAGAGCATGGAGATATTACCTCAATGCGATCCCATGATTCATTCGGTCTCGGGATAATCACGCAAGACGATGTCCACGTTTATTGGAAGGCGGAGGATGTTAGTGGAGGAGACATTAATTAACCAGGCTGGTGGATGTTAAACTGAACTAGGAATAAGCATAGATTATATGATAGATTAAGGAGGTAAAATTCCGGGTGTGACCGTCGGATCCGGGAGTTGAGGCAGAGAGACAATCCCGTTGTGGACTTGCCATGCCGAATGTTTTGTTGTTCCTGTTTGTTGGCCGGCGACTCGGCCCGGTCAGCAGAGGAGATTCATCATCGGTGATTTCTCAGCAACAAGTCAATATCGACATCATCTTCGTGAATTGAGATTAATCAATCATTAATCAAATAAGAATTAAAACCAAAATTAACCGGTTGTCGGACAAGAGCCGGTGGGATATCCGAGCAAACCGAGCAAAAGCAACAAAAAAGTCACGGGCGGGGAAATGTCTGATTGGGGGAAAAAAGATAAAAGGGAAAGTTGGATGCGGGAAAAGCAATGATCTGCCGTCTTGGCAGCCTTGGCGCCCCATGTCCCGCTCGGCGGACCAATCACCACCGCACCTGCCCTGAATGCCGCGTGTTAGTGCAAGGGCTTAGGGCTACTCGGAGGAGCCCGTCGCAGCAGTGGAGGGGATACCAAGGTGGGAAACAACAAGAGAGGACCGTAGAACATCGCGATCATCCCGAACATAGCTACACTGAGCATAGCACCATCACACCGGCCGGTTCAGAGGTCGAACACCCACCCAACACTCTACCGTTTCTGCAACGTCCGGGCGAACGGGTCCCCATGTGTCTCTCAGACCGCGTCCGTATCAGGTTGGACCTCTTCCAAAGTCGCGACGAAACAATATACGAGGCTGAAAGAGACAACGCGCTAGTCAGTAGATTGCTGGTTGAGCCGCGTCATACTGTCCCGGTCAAGTCCCAAAGGAGAGGTCCGTCCCCTGTCACTCCCCCGCCACGATGAACTAGTAGTCTAATTCTTACAAAGTGTATCAGGGGACTCAGCCATGGGAACAAAGCTCGATGCAATCGGACTTAATTAGTCTCCACATCGAGCTGGGCGTGAAACTGATGGACACTCCGCTATCTACTCGAAACCGTATCTAATTAAGCACTCGCGGCTCCACTTCTTCTCTGGGCTTCCTCCGTGCCGCTCGGACAGCTCACTGGACGCTCCCTGTGGAGTCGTTTCACAGGATCCCCTCAACGCTGACGATCGCATTCCCAACTCATCCACCAGCTCTCTCGAGCACACCTGGGCAGTGAGGTGATCGGCGGTGGCCTCACAACATTGCCGTCGCCGGGACCCAGATGTTTATTCTTTTTCCCTGTCGACTCAATGACCCACACCACATCCACCGTCATAACACCGATATTGGTCGAGATTGCGTTGGAGTAGCAGAGGGAGTCTCCGGCATACCCACTGGCTCCGTAAACCTCCATCAGGAGAAGTGTTCCAAACTTCCATGAGCCATGGCATCGAAGGACCAACAGCGCTCTATATAAGGGACGAGCCCGTCGACCGTCTCAGATCCTTTCCTCTCTGGCTCAACACACACAGCTTTGTCATTCTTTCTCTTGTTCTCTCTTTTGTTCCTAATTGTACTTACTCTTTGTCACTCTTTATACTTGCAAAACTTCCAGGATGAAGTACGCTGCTGCTCTTACGGCTGTTGCCGCCCTCGCTGCCCGCGCCGCTGCTGTCGGTGTCTCCGGCACTCCCGAGGGTTTCGCTTCCTCCGCCACTGGTGGTGGTGATGCCACTGCCGTCTACCCTACCACCACCGATGAGCTGGTCTCTTACCTCGGTGATGACGAGGCCCGTGTCATTGTCCTCTCCAAGACGTGAGTTCCGAATCCAAAGCAGAGAACGAATCGATCCCCGGCTGACCAGTGTACGCATTTGCTAGTTTCGACTTCACTGACACCGAGGGTACTACCACCACCACCGGCTGTGCTCCCTGGGGTACTGCCTCCGGCTGCCAGCTGGCCATCAACAAGGATGACTGGTGCACCAACTACGAGCCCGATGCTCCCACCACCACTGTTACCTAGTAAGTTGCTCTCTGAGTTCTATTCGACAATGAGGGAAGAGAAGATGTTAACAAAAGGATAGCAACACTGCTGGTGAACTCGGTATCACCGTCAACTCCAACAAGTCCCTGATCGGTGAGGGTACCAGCGGTGTCATCAAGGGCCGTGGTCTCCGCATGGTCAGCGGTGTCTCCAACATCATCATCCAGTACGCATCGTCCAGGACTTTTATCCACTTGTAGCATCGCAAACTAACCATGGGATCCCCACAGGAACATTGCTGTCACCGACATCAACCCCGAGTACGTCTGGGGTGGTGACGCCATCACTCTCGACGACGCTGACTTGGTCTGGATTGACCACGTTACCGTATGTCTCAACCAGTCCAGAACTTCCTCCTTTTGCAAGCTAACGAATGCTTCAGACTGCCCGCATCGGTCGCCAGCACTACGTCCTCGGTACCGAGGCCGACAACCGTGTCTCCATCACCAACAACTACATCGACGGCGAGTCTGACTACTCTGCTACTTGCGACGGCCACCACTACTGGAACGTGTACCTCGACGGCGCTAGCGACAAGGTTACCTTCAAGGGCAACTACCTGTACAAGACCTCCGGCCGTGCCCCCAAGGTCCAGGACAACACCTACCTCCACATCCTCAACAACTACTGGGAGAACAACTCGGGCCACGCTTTCGAGATCGGCTCCGGTGGCTACGTCCTCGCTGAGGGTAACTACTTCTCCAACGTTGACACCGTCCTCGAGTCCGACTCCTTCGAGGGTGCTCTCTTCTCTGACAGCGCCTCCTCCACCTGCGAGTCCTACATTGGCCGCTCCTGCGTTGCCAACGTCAACGGCGGTGACCTCACCGGCACCTCCACCACCGTCCTCTCCAACCTCAGCAGCGACACCCTCCCCTCTGCTGATGCTGCCAGCACCAGCCCCGCCTCCAGCGCTGGTCAGGGTAACCTGTAAGCGGTCTCGCCCCGTCGGACTCTTACTGCCGCTTGCTTCGGTGATGTTGTCGAGTTTGGTGATTCAGACTAGACGAGTTGTTCCTGCTGTTGTACAGCGGAAATGTGTGTTAGCTTAGATTCTATCTTAGCCTAATCAATAATTCTAAGATGGACTTGATCCATAGTAATGCTCCATTCAGCTGTCATTCAGGGGTTCTCGCTGTAGTTTCTCTTTTTAGCCTAATATACTGGCTACTCCTAGCTCCTCGATGCCTAAGGCTCAAATGTCTCATGGCTAAGGCAGGAAAATGCCAAGCCTGCAATAGTGCCTGAAGGCAATTTGTTGCTGCCCAAGGCATATGATAACTATAAGGATTAACGAACGAAATAAAGAGAACCGAGTATTGTAGGTGTCTATATCACACAGTGTCATGGTGAACTACCATTATTTTGGTTCCATCACGTTGATTGAGTCTCGTACACTGAAATAAGTAACTAGAGGTTCGCATTGCCGGTGGATGCTACAAATGTATCGTCCCTTGAAATGGTCGATCAAGGTGATGGTATTTGTTTTCCTTATGCCTTCTACCACTCCACCAATAACAGCCTCTTCTGAATCTTTGCTTATCTTCGTCAGCAAAGGGGGGGGGGGGGGGGGGGGGGGGTAGGTAATCATTCGTGAGACAACATCTTCCTGCACTTCAAATACCTAACATATCAAGCGGGTGATCTCTCCCGTCTGTAGGTATGGGCTGCAGTGTACCTTCCTGATTGGAATGTAACAAAGATACTTCTACTGTCTTCTATTAGATAGCTCTAGAAGAAGAACATAATTAATTATCTATTTTTACTTATAAAAAATCCTTTTCTATATTTATTATATAGACTTAGATCAGTTACTCCAGATCAGAGTAACTTAATAACATATTCTAATATTTTTTAGAGTATCTTTACTTTTCCTGTATAATAAACTGCAATCTATAAAATATATAAAAAAAATATTTCTTCTAACTAACAGTATCTGAGTTTAAGAATAACTATATTTCTTCAGATTATAATATTCAGATAAAATTTATTTTCTAGATAGAATTTATTTTCTACCTGGCATTGCGCCTATATAATAATAATAAAAAATATAAAAAGAAGATCTATATTATCTTTAAGAAAATTAAGTTTATTATTTTTAAAAATTATAAGGTTAATAATGACAGCAAGATCAAGTATTTCTATTATAAATATCTTTATTATAAGTATTACTAAGTGTCTTTACTATAAGTATTATTAAGTATCTTTACTACAAGTACAGTATTAGTATTTCTCTTTTTTATAACTGCTAAGTATAACTGCCAGTATAGCAGAAAAGTACTATTTTATTTATATTTTTAATAAGTCTGAATAAAAGGGATTATTTTAATTAATAATCTTTTTATAAGTATTAAATTTACATCTTATGATTATAAAGATATATTATTTTATTTTTTACTGTATATCTAACTATTTTTTTTAAAAAAAGAGTATTTATTATTAAGTACTAGTTAAATATTTTATAAAAAGTAGAACTTCCTTAACCTAATCCTTAACTATTATTATATATATTAAAAGCTATATTGTCAAATATTATCTTATTAAATTTAATTTATTAAATTTAAATTCTGGTAGAAGTAACTTCTGAACCTAGTATATTAATAACTAAGAATAATATTATATAATATATTCTAGATAAATAACAGATATTATAAATTTATATAAAGCTATTCCCAGTCCCTTTAATATTAGAGAAATTTATAATAAATTAGGAGATAATATTAGAGATAATAATTTAATTAAATCTAATATTTAAAATAGTAATACTCTCTGTCTGTATAAAAATCAGATAATAAAAATTTATAAATAAATTATAATTTTATTATATTACCTGTAGCAGTATAAATAGAAAAGTAATATATTTAATTTAATAATTTAATTTATAAGTTAACTACATGTAGTAGATATTAGTAAGATATCTAGAATTATATTTATTCTAAATAAAAACTAATACTAAAAAATTTATTTTATAATTAATATTAACTCTACTAATTCTTCTTATTTTAAATATATTACTGAAGAATTATTTAAAATTATAATAAGTTTTAAATATGGATCTTTTTACTGTGTATTAAATAAATATAATATCTTAAATATATATAAGATTAATAAGATAAATATTAAAGAAAAGAAATATAAATAATAATATATTTATTATTAACAGGCTGATGAGTAGAATACTGAAATTATAAGATTATAATAATAAATATTAAATCTTAATTAAATAATTAAATAATCTGATTAAAATTACACAGTTTATCAAGAATAAATATAATATAGAAAATAAATATTTTAAGAATAGCTTAACTAAGAAAAAGTAATATAGTAGTAATCTAGTATATTTTATCTAATATAAGATTTCAAATATAATAGATCTTATTATAGATAATAAGTAGATTTAAGCTTTTTCTAGAATATTATTAAAAAATAATTAATACTGAGAAGTAGTCTCTATACTAAAAGTAACTAATCTTAAGATATTTTCTGTATATTAAATATATATCTTATCTAAATAGATTCTTTCTATTCTGATTATAATAGATAAAACAGGTATAATAATAAATAAGATTATAACTAATTCTATATTAATTCTAATTACTATTTTAATAATTATTATACTGTAAAATGATATTCTTATTAATTAAAGTTTAATAATATAATAATATTTAATCTAAAAATAATAAATATTAGATTTTTTATCTAATAAATTTAAATTATTATAGCTCAGGAGAAATAATAATCTATATTAAATATTCTTTTATTTTATTTAAAAAACTAGATTCTTATATAATATATTAAACTGTCTGAGATGCTCCAGGACTAGATAATTTATAAAATTAAAATATAATATAAAAAACTTAAATATAAATTTAAGTATTTAATTATTAAAATATAATAAGAGGTATAATAGTTAAAATTTAGATTTAAGAAAATAAATAATCTTTTACTTATTAATTATCTTATTTAAAAAATATTTTTTTTATAAGTTATTAATATAATAGATAAAGAAACTCTGAAAAATAAATTATAAAAAAATCTTAATAATAATCTTATCTATCTTATATAATTAATAAAAAATAAGATATTTAAAGTCTTTAAATATTATTTATATATAAATAAAACAGATATAAAATAATAGTAATAAATATATAATAAGAAAAAAGACTATACAGGATCTAAATAAGTAAATAATAATAAGAATAATTATTAAATTAATAAAAATAATACTAATAAAATTAATTTATCTAATATTACTGAAAAAATAAAGCTGTTAAAAAATTATTATAATATTAGAATTTAATTATTATAATTCTGCTACTACTACAATAATAATTACTAAAATTAAAAATATTTTAATTATAATTACTATATATATATAATAAAACAGAAAATTAAATTAAATAATAATAAGTCTGATTCTAATTTAAAGAATCTATTAAAATCTAGCTTAAAATTTAATTTTTTTTAAATAAAAAATTAATATTTCTCTCAGGGGTAGAGGATTCTAAGAATAAAATAAAATCTCTAATATCTATTTTTAATAAGAATAATTATATTTTATATACTATTTTTATAAAGCAGTTATTACAAGTACTTATCTTATATATAATAATATTTAATATATATAATAAAATACTTATTTATCTAGATACAGGATCTGATTTAATTTATATTTTATATATTTATCTGAATAAATATTTCTCAGAAGTAATTATTAAATATTAAATTATAATATTAAATATACTAGACTTGAATATTACTACTAATAAAATAGTTTTATTATATATTTTTTTAATAGAAAGATATATAGAAGCAGAAATACTAATATTAAAATAAATCTTAATTAATATCTTACTTAGTATAAATATTTATAATATAAATAATATTATTATTAATTTTCCTAAGTCTCTTATATAATTTTAAGGTGCTTATTCTGTTCTATTTAAATTAATATAAAAAATATATTTTATATTAAAAAAGAAATATAATATCTATACTAGATAAAATATTATAGTTAAACTAGAAATAAGTTATTTATTACTTATAATATATTCTTATTATATTTTAAATAATATTTTATTATAATTTAAGCTAGTACTGTAGATTAAATAAAATATTAGCTTATTTAATAGTTTGCTTAAAATATTTTTAATAAATAATAATTATATATTATTTTATATAAATCTAGATAAAAGCCAGATTTAGATATATTATAAATAATTTATAAAATATATATTAAGTTTTAGATTAGTAACTGTAATAACAGCTATTATATATATTATATAATTTATAATTAAGTTAGAAACTAATACTAGTAATAATTTCTTAACTAATTTTAGTAAAGTACCAGATAATATTAATCTTAATAATATTAAAATATCTATAACTATTTCTAAATTTAATTTTATCTTACTAGCTGATGCTGATGTGTTATCTATATAAAAAAATAAATATATTTTTTATATAAGAACTATATTAAATAAATACTTTTTATTATTTTAATTAAAACTTAAATACTTTACTGGCGTGGAAATAATAATTTTATTTTATAATAAATATAATATTAAAAGTCTAAAGCAGAATCTGTATTTCTTAATATATAAAGATTATATAATAATAAACAGTATCTTAGATTTTTTATAAAAAATAGAATAAATTAAAAAAGTATTTTTTAATAAATTCTCTCTTATATTTTTATTAGTCTTTATTATCTGGCAGTATAATAAATCTTATATTATTATTAATTTATAATATATTAATATATATTTAATCCTGAATACTTATCCACTGCTATAATAAGATAATATATTAAAAGCTTTAAATAACTTAATTATTTTTATATTATTAAATATTATTAAGGACTACTTTTAATAACCTATAAAATATAAAAATTATTAGAAAATAATATTTACTATATTATATTAAGAATATAAA